CGTGGGGGTCGGGGGTTGGGGGGGTTATGGTGAGGGTGTTAGTGGTGGGGTTTCAGCAAGCACGGGCTTCAGCAGACATTGACAACAACGTACCTGCCTTTCTGCAAACATTAACCTTCCGCCCAAAAACTTTGAAAAGGGGGCTGGGGGTGTTAGTGGAAGGGTAGGGAGTACTTCCCACCCAAAAACTTTGAAAAGGGAGGTGAGGGTGATAGTGTTAGGGGGTGCTTGTCACCGCTGTCTGGTCCAAGTTGCCCTGCCGCTGCTAGCGATCACCGTGGGTCGAGTCCTTGGCCTCTACAACACCCTGGGCTTTTAAAAAAAAAAAAAAAAAAAAAAGATGCGCTACGGCCAACGGCGGGGGAACCGGCTCGGTCGACCAGCTGGTAGGACCGGTCCGGTTCCAGTTCGGGGAGGAGGGCCCCAGGTCCTACCAGGTTTGCAGCACTGGTCTGGATCAAGAACCATTCTGTAGACTACTAGACTTGCAACAATCCATGGAAAAGCCACAAAATAATCCATGGTCTGACTTCTCTGTGACTTCTAATCCTTGGTCTCTTTTCATCCATTACATCAGTTCGGAACTTCGGATTGTTCTCTGCAACTCGAGAACATGAAGTTGGAATCGCTAGTGATCACGGATCGGCATGCCGCAGTGAATTTCTTTTGTCCTCAGGCCTTCTGGTGTGGTCCAACCCATCAGTACTGAGACTGTGGTGCGGTTTGAGCTACAGGTATGGTCTGAGCCGACAAGAGTGCATTCGAAGGTCACCCATTACTGGAATCTTAGGTTACAAAAAAAATTCTAAATTTTAATGAAATTAGTTACGAGTCTGAATACTGAATCCATACCATCACGTAGAACCTGACAAAAAAAAAAAAAAAAAGTAGCTCCCCAAACAAAACAAAAAAAGAACCTGATAAGATTAAAAGAACAAAAAAAAAAGCTTTTAGGCTAGCTTTCCAACCCGGGCGCCCAGGGCACCCCATGGTGCCCGGAATGGTGCCCGGGTCGCCCAGCCGTGTGACCCCCCCCGAGCAGGCACCCCGGCCCCTCTCGCGCTGAGGCTGATAAAGCCTGAAAAAAAAATTTGCGCCGCGACCAGATGCCCTACCACCGAAGAAAAAAATTAGGAAGCCGGCACGACTTTTTCTTGGGGTCCGGTAGGCCCAGTTTTGCAAGGGGGGGGGGTTCCCAAATCTCGCCGTCGATCTGTGCCGATCGACGGCGCGCACAGATCCAGGATTCGAATTCGAATCATGGCCGACTCCAGCACCCACGTGAATCCACGCCAGTACCCCTCCGACCGCAGCCCTGTGGCAGTTCGTCACAACGGCCCTCCGCGCACTCGACATCCCCGTAGCCGCGTGCTCCATCGCCAAAGCCTCCTGCTCCTTCTGCGTGCGTCATTGTCGATGCCCCCACACCAACTATTGCTGCTCCCTCTTCACGAAGGTTGCCCCCCGCGCTATCCCAGAAAGGTCCAAGAAGTTCAAGATAAGTTCTTCTTCTTCTTCTTCTTCTTCTTCTTCTTCTTCTTCTTCTTCTTCTTTCTTCTTCTTTGTCTTCTTCTCCTTTCTTCTTTGTTCTTCTCCTTCTTCTTTACAGTTCGTGTCTTATTTTTCCTTGACATGGCGTCCTCGCTCCCTCCCGCCAGATCACCTCCCTCGCTTCTCTCCGTCTCATTCGCCATATCTTCCCTCCTACCTCCAATGGCACCCCTCCCTCCTCCTACCTCCCGCCATGGTCCTCCCTCCTCCCTCCGCCGTAGTCCTCCCTCCTCCCCCCCGCCATAGTGCTCCCTCCTCCCTCCCGCCAGACCGCCTCTCTCCTCCCTCCCCTGATAGTCCTCCCTCCTCCCTCCAGCCATAGTCCTCCCTACTCCCGCCCGCTATAGTCCTCCCTCCCTTCAGATCGGCTCCCTCCTCCGCCAGATTGCCTCTCTCCTCCTCCGCGATATCTCCTCTGCTCCCCCCCTTCCCCCCAAACACACAGAAACCGATTGCATGGAAAAAAAGAGAGGGCGGATTTGGGTCATACTTGGAAAGCGCAGCAAAGGCTGACAGTCAACAACAAAAAAAAAAAAACAATTCTGTGGATATTTTGCATGCCCGGGGTACTCCGGGTGGAGTCCCTACCCGAGCGAGGCGCCCCGGGAAAGCTAGCTTTTAGTTACAACAGCAGAGAAGACGATTGATGAAAGGGAAAATGTTTTTTTAGCAAGATATGAAATAACTTCAAATAAGATTTAGATTTATCGATGTACTCCAGGACGTCCGTTAAAGTTGGAATGATATACAGGGAGCAAATATTTTTGCTTGAAGCAGTTTCTATAAACTTTGCAATTCATTCAAAAAAGAACATTTGCGGCCGGGGATCTCACAATTCTACCCGGATCTACCGAGAGCATTACTCGGCTTCGCTTACAGCTCTGGCCAAACCATGAGCTTGATACATAACATTCCAGTTCAGTACTTAAACAACACTTCCTAAGGGAGATTAGCATGGCCCCTCCGCAAAGATGACATGCATAAATCGAGAAATGGTCCAAAAACTAAAAAACAAAAAAGGATGTATCGATAATGGTGAGTGCTTACCTGGCAATAGAACCACAGCCCCTGTAACGAGAGACGTCCTAAGTTGAATTGGTGCTCCAACTGAGCAATCATCATTTGATAGTCCTGTCGAGCGAAAAAAAATACCAACAAAAACAAAAACGAGAAGATCAAAGAAGAAGAAGAAGACGACGACGACGAAGAAGAAGAAGAAGAAAGGGACGGTTAATATTTGCCCACATTCCATCACTAATACACTATCCATCAGATTTCATCTATAAAACCTTTCATTACAAATGGATGTATATTGAAATTACCATGGTTACATTCTGGACGTCCGGACCGAGGTCCAGACAGTCCGGAGGACCATGTCCGCGCGGACGTACGGTCCGGAGGGTCCGGAAGGTGCCAAATCCAGAGGATTTTTTTTTTTTTAACCTGTCGACCTGGACCCTTTGTTGGGTCGAGGCCGACCCCAGAAAATTGTGTGGGGTAATTTTTCGACCCGTTGGGCCTCTGCAGACACGGCCGGACGCGCGCTTCTTAGGTTTATATTTTTTTTTTTTTCGTTCACTCTGCAGTCTTGGTGTGGCCTCGTTTTGGGGGGGAAACGAGGTCTGTTCGAATCGAAACGCCCCCCGCCCGCCATTCAGCCCGCTGGTATACTTTCGAAACTCCCCCCGCCTGTCATTCACCCCGCTGGAATGCAACGAGCTGTTGACGTCCTCGTTGCAGAGCTTCCGCCATCGCCATCGTCAAGGCTGCTCCTGCCGTGTGCACGTGGTCGCCGTCATTGTCACCATCAGACAGACAGAGAGAGAGAGAGAGAGGAGTCATGGAGGAGGGAGGAGTCAATGACGCAGGAGACGCAGAGGAGGGAGGACGACGGCGGCTTAGAGGAGGGAGGATCTCACTGACGGAGACGAAGTAAATCAAGAAGGACAAGGCAGACAGGGGTGCAGGGTGCTGGTCGTGCTGTGAAAGGTATGACACAAGTCACCCCGATGACAGCACCCTCGGCAGAGCTGTGTACGCATTGTCATCCACCCTGGCTTTTTTTTTTTTTTTTTTTTTTTCAGGACCGTCCGCGTCCGCTATGTCCGGAAGGTCCGGATCATGTCCGGAAGTCCGGACGTCCGGACCATTCCGGACGTGCGTCCGGTTTCAGGTCCGGTCCGGTCCGGGTCCGGGTCCGGCGTAACCATGGAAATTACTATTAATTTACTAATTTGTAATTGTGCACAAATCTGCCACAAAACCACCACTCCAGTGCTACAATTCTCAAAATATTTGGGGAATTTTTGGGAGACAACCCCTGAAAGTTCACATAAATGCTTAGAATACCACTAAACGATGACGTTAGAGAGAAATACCCCTCTGAAACTTCAAAAGTGTATGAAATGCCCTTTTGGATTTAAATATTTGCGTTATACCCCTATAGCGGCTTTGCCAACTTTGTGATACATCCCTGCCAGGAGCAGAATACAAACTTGCACAACCCCCTCACAGGGGGATTTCGCAAACATGTACATCCAAAAGGGGATTCCGTAAACTCTTAAAATTTCAGAGGGGTGTTCCACTCCACCCACATATTTCAGGGGTATTTCAGCATATACGTGAACTTTCAGCATTATTTCGCAAATTTTCTCAATATCTGTCTTACCAACTTGGCTCCCCGGGTCACCTTGGTTGGCCCGGCGGCCCCACCAGACAAGGGCCCGGAAAGGTCCCTGTTTCCAAAAAGCAAAAAAAAAAAAAAAAAAATCCGAAAAAAAAAACACTTTGTGCAGAAAAATAAACTGAACCTTTGCCTCGGGGTCACATCGAAATTCTTTGTCAAATAAAAATAACACTCAAAATTTTATTTTTATTTTTCTATCCATTTTTAACCCAGCCGGGCAAGTGGTCCCCAGCCACTCAGGTAACGTAGTCAAATATTTAATATTCCCATCGAGAACGAATTTCTCATGGCTACGCCGGACCCGGACCCGGACATTTCCGGACATGAAACCGGAGCTTTGTCCGGTAGTTTCTGGACGTCCGGAATTCCGGACATTTCCGGACCTCCGGACATGGGGGGATCCAGACGGTCTGGATGTACGGACCATTAAAAAAAAAATCTTAAAAAAAAGTATGCTGTGCAGAATAACAATGCAAACCACTTTTGCCTCAGAGTCATGTCAGAATTCCTAACCAAACTTGAGTTACAAGTCAAAAACTATAAAAAAGCTTTAAAAAAGACTTTAAAAACTAATAAAAGGTAATGAATTATTATAGAGAGAGAGAATGTCCGGACCCCCCAAAAAAGCATAAACGGGCCTGAAAACCCCCCAAAACAATTTTGGGAGCTTGGCTCCTCAATGGGGAAGGGTCCTGGACCGTTGTTGTTTTTTTTTGTTCCCTCGAATTTTGGCAGATCCGGACGTCTGGAGTCCGACTTAATCCAGACCGTCTGGACGGCGGTCCGGACGTCCGGATCATAGCCATGGAATTTCTCTTTTAGGTTCCAAGATTCATTGAACGGTCCTTGTGGATAGAAAATTAGAAATGCTCTTAACCTAATAAGTTAGTACTAACACAAAAAAAGTTTAAAGAAGTTATAAAAACCCTTCTCATATTGTGGCGTATTATTGGAAGTTGAAACAAATAAATTTCGATCAAATTAGCAGGTACTTTGTGCACACTGCAAAACAAAGCTCAGTGACAAAAAAAAAAAAAGACCAGTGCTGCTCCTTTCAAAATGCCTTATATCACATTCCGTCATCATCTTCGCATCTCCACTCTCAATCACCCTCAACATCATCATCGCCGTCATCATCATCATCATCATCATCACTATCATCGTCGTCATCATCCTCATCCGTATCATCATTTTGTGTCGTGCCTACGATTTCCTGTTATCACGTCTCTTCGTCACCGTCGTCATCATCCTCATCATCACCATCCGTATCATCATTTTGTTTCGTGCCTTCGATTTCCTGTTATCAGATCTCTTTTTTTTCAAGAAGAGAGTTTTGTGAACAGACTTGACGGTGATCACAGCCAGAATCAGTGACAAAACTCCTCCAAGTGTAAGTACAGCTTTAGGCAGTACTGCAGGTACCAATGGCAGTGAACAATTGTGGAGAAGAAGACATAGGGAAAGGGGAAAAGCCAATGACACAAACGAGGAGATGTGAGGAAGAGTCATAAGCCGCATAACGCACAACAGAGAACATTGCAAGGACGTGTAGGATGTGTAGCTAACACAGGGAGGAGAGGGAGCATGCGGGGAGAGAGCAAGAAGGAAATATAAGCAGGAGAGGTAGCATGCAGGCAGACAGCAAAAAGGAAATAGGCAGGAGAGGGAGCATGACGGGAGAAAGGGGAAAGAGAGGAATAGGCAGAGCAAACACAGCAGAAAATGTGGAAGAAAGAGAGGCAAGAGGGAAGAACCAACATGGAGGAGAAAGAAGCGTAACTTCACAAAACACAAGACACAGATAAGCTGAGAGTAAGACTATGAATGGAAAATCAGACTGTCTTAGCAAGGGAAAAGGGTGGTCAAGGATGGAGAGGGAGGGAGGAAGAAAAGGAACGAAAAGGAACGAAAAGGAACGAAAAGGAACGAAAAGGAAAGGAAAGGAAGGAAAAGGAAGGAAGGAGAAGGGGCCTAGCTCAGTTGACACACCCAAGTTTGAATCCAGATGCAACCAGATGGCCAGAATAAAATCATTTTATTTTATTTTTCTGGGGAGAAGAAGAAGAAGAAGAAGAAGAAGAAGAGACAGAAGCAGAAGCAGAAGGCGCAGGACAGAGGGAACCTGCCTGCAACAAGGATCGAATGGCCGCAGCGAGTGCATGACTTGCAAGCCCGTGTTTGAAATGGGACCGGACCTCAACAAATCGGCTGACAGCACAATAACTCTCACAGAGAGGAAGGACCCGCTCCGCAAGTTCCTGCAACAGACACTCACAATCTGTCAGGAGAGTCCTAATGATTTTATTTATTTATTTATTTTGGGTCACGGATCAGATATTAAACTGAAGATACTACACTTGATCTTAGCCAAAAGGCCGAGAAAGGTAAGTCCTAATGATTTCTGAAAGTGGTGCCGCTAGCAAATAACTGCCAAATTTTCCAACTCTGGCGAGCCACACGCACATGCTTTTTCAACAGACAAACATCTACAAATGGACCTTTCCATATCCATCATGACATTACTCAATTCTTTTGTTTTCTTACTACTGTTTTAAATCCACCTTTGGTTGGTTTTCCCCAAGGACAGACGGACCTTCGGCCTCGGATGCTTGGGTTTACTCAGTGTTTTGATGACAATTCTTTTTTTTTTTTTTTTTTTTTTT